GTTTCTGCAATAGAATTCAGTACCATTGAATATGGTTTGAAGGCAGAAAAGTTAGAATATGGTATACGTTTTACCTGCTAAAGCATTTCCCCAAAATGTCTTGATATGTACTGCTTCGATGACCTGTTACTGACCCTTACTCAAACACTTTATTGTCAAATGCAAGTTAGTTGTGTGTTAAGACAAAGCAGATATTTCTCAAATCTCAGAGAGTCTTTCCATTCTTCTGCTTATACTGAGGAAGACTGTGAAATGGTTGATTGCTTCAGAAAGTCAAATCTTGCAAAACGATTCGTTCCTTTATCCATTTCATGTTTGTGTTCTCCGGTCTTGAGAGTTTGCATTTTTTTAGATCAGGAGCAATGGTATTCGGCAAATTATCGTTACACGCTAAAATTTATTTGAAGCCATCATATTCAGCAAGGATGGGTGCAACTGCCAGCCTTATTCAGCAAGGTTGGGTTTGAAATCAACCTTGCACACACAGTTTTAAGGACGCTGAAACTTTTGCTAATTCATTATGAATCAACCATACACGTTTTTCCCAGAATATTTGTTGTCTCTTTCATTGCTCTCAGAACATGCCATCAGTTTCTTCGTTGCCATATTTTTTGTGTTTGTCCATAAGTGTATGAACCATCCCAAAATATGAAGATTTCGGTGTCGTGATTAGTTTCAGAAACCAGTATTTACTTTCTTAGAAATAGTGCATCAGGCAAATGTACCGTGCTTGCCCATGAGAAGATAGTCTTTCTTTTACATATTATTTTTTCATCAAGATATCTGTGATGAGGTGAATGATAAAAATTAGATGTCGTTTTGAAAATTCTATTAGCTTTGCCTTAGCCCATGCAATGACATCTGGAATCGCCAATGAGATTCTTTCAATTGGTCTAACTCAGCAAAACTTGTAAAAATGAGGTTGTGTTGTGCTCGAAATTACATAAAACGCATAAAAAGTGGCACCAATCATTGATCATTTAGTCTTGTAAAAATGTCCACCGTGAGAGAACTCTATACGAACTGCACAGCCGTCGTCTCGTTTGCCGGTGACGAACTCGTAAAGCATCAGTACGGAATGAAAGTTCAGCTTGCGGCTCAAGGCAAACCAAGTGCTATAGTAGACAACAAAATTTACCCCTACTACAAGACTTGCGTGGAAGAAGACCGTTGTATTATGGGCCAGATGTTGCTGGCAGCCTCCTGCCTGTTAGGTTGACTTTTCTGTAACGTGCATAATTAAACCCCTGCATATGCGGTGCTTCGGAAAAGGTGCCAGTAATGTAATAATTCATATGTTAAACTATATAAATATGATAAACAATCAGGTTGTGGAGACTTGAAACTGAAATGATATTGAAAGCTGTTATAAGTGTAAAACAGAAAGTAATAATAAACTTTGCAGAGTTTCAACTATAATGAAAATAATACAGCTATAGGAGGAAAATTGTAATGGGATTTAATTCTCTGTGTTCTGATATTTATCTCTTTATTACCTGTGCACATGTTATTTAGACTATGAAGAGTTTATCGAGCAACATAACAAGCTTGGCGAACAAATTTATTACGACTTCGTTAATGCGGAATGGACATACTGGCTGAATGAAACTTCGTGGAATCAGGAGGAGAGCGTGCGTCAGAGCGCTATCAAATCTGCTTTTGACTCAGCAGAGGCTAAAAAAGCGAAAAGCTACTTTATCTGTGCCATTCCTAATGCTACTATTAAAAGGGAAATGAGCACAATCGCAACAGTAGAAATAGTTCTGAATGAAACCGATATGAAACGTTTCTACGAAGATATAAATAACATGAACAATATCTACAGTACTGCTTACATTTGCAACCCGGCGCATCCGGACTGTCACGAAAGTGATACTGGCAAAATGTACCGATGGGAATTCAACCCGACATTAAGCAAATTAATGGCAACGTCGACTGATTACGATCTTTTGAAATATATTTGGGTTGGATGGCGCAACGAAACTGGAGTTAAAGAACTTCCTCTGTACAGAGAATACGTTCAACTTGGTAACAAAGGAGCCCGAAATGCCGGATACGCAAATATGGGTAGCTCCTGGCGCTCAGTTTACGAAGACCCCGAGTTTACAACGCAGCTCGAGAAGCTCTGGGCTCAAGTGCTTCCATTTTATGAAGAACTGTTCGCCTACATGCGTCACTTTCTGAAATCTCGGTATCCGGGCAAATTCAGTACAACCGCACTGCCAGCGCATATCCTTGGAAACATGTGGGCTCAGTCATGGACCAATCTCTTTGACGCCACGGCGCCATACAGAAATTTACCGTCAGTGGATGTGACGGAAGAGATGAAAAAGCAAAATTATACTCCAAAACTCATGTTCGAGTAAGAGATGCATTTGTATTACGGTACTCATAATACATTTAGCTGCAGCATTCAGCTGAAATCATTCCAGCATTTATGATTGTTGAATCAATCAATTAGAAACATTCTCGCGTTTGTCACATGCCCTCGTCATCACTGGTTCCATTGATGTCCTTGCAGATTTGAGTTTCTTCCTCTACTCATCGCTGTTCAATAGCCATATCGTGATTTCATGCATGAATTGCCTATCATAATTTTTATGTAATTAATTTTTCCCTGCAATTTCACTTTCAGTCTAATTTACAGCGTCAACCTTTATCCGGAGAATGGACCTTAAAATTAATAACTCTAATCGGCCTCGTTTTAGATATAAATACGATCTCCGCCAATGAAATATTTCTACGCGGTTCTTGGCATAGTTGCATTAAAGTCTCCAACCGTTGAAAAGCAGACTGATCCAAAAGGCTTGAGGCTGCTTAAGGCTAGCATTTCCCCTTTTGTCGATGATTGAAGGGTTCACCACAGATCTTTATACGTAATTACCATATTATACGTAATCGCATGATTTTGACATGATGTGCAATCCAATTACAGTGGTACCTCGAGTCACGAATTTAATTCGTTCTTTGACTCCGTTCTCGAGTCAAAACAGTTTTCCCACTGAAATTAATGTAATTTCAATTAATCCGTTCGCGTGCCCCAGAAACATGGTTTGTTGACTTTTCTTATGGATTTATGTGTGGCAAAAATATATCATATAAGACATACAGCACTATGACTTTACCTCCTTTGCGATTGATAGTTACAGGAGGTAGAGGAGGAGGAGGAAGACTACTCCTTCGAAGGAGAGTCCCATTCCATAATAACGTCGGGCAACTGCGTAGGCATTTCTATTGTTTTTTCTCGTGTTTCCTGGGAAGTGGTTCGATTCCTGGCTCGGTGGCTGGTGTTTTCACAAAATAACGATCCAGAGACATTTG